TTTGGTTGATATCTATAATAGCCATATAATAGGTTATTCAGCCTTTGACAAACATAGATTTACCTGTGCAGGCTGCTGGTATATTAACAGTGAAGAACTCATTGTAGCATTTTATAGATGTTTTACAAGCACAGAGCAGGTAAATCAACAGTTTTGTTTTCGATTTGCGGCGTTGTTAACAAGGCTCCTCCACGTAACGGATTCACAGGCGATTCTTGGACGACTTTATAAAACTTACTGCTGAGCAATAAAGTGAACAGACAGACACATTTAGCCTGTATGATACATGGAGAGAGGAGCAGAGAGAGGCAGTCGGTGTGTGTGAGGGGAAAAATTGAGTGTACCAAGTATTTTGTGAGTTAAGGATAAAACACCAAAACAAGGTGGATAATGAAGTGGAATTATAATGGTGAAATCAGGGCTGTAGAAATAGAAATATACCCTACACAGCTCCGCTGTTTAGCTCTAAGCACCCTTAATTATAAATTAATTATTCATCTTATATTATGATATATCCCTGGAACAGTGACATTCCCCCTTTATACATAGAAATATTTGTTGTTTACTTACCAGCCAACTTATCCTGACAATAATCCCTAAATAAGAAATGTGATGACACTGCCAGAAGCCTGTAAACAAACAGAGCCGGGGGAACGTGTTAAAGTGGCACAAAATGATATTTCGCCTCGGGCACTAAGACATCCAGAGCCTCAACTGGGTTTTCAGTTCTCAGTACGAGCTTATTTCAGTCTCTGCATCTTCTCTCGGTGCCCCGGTGTTATTGAAGCCTGGTCAGGCTGATTGATGTCGTACAACTTTACTGCTTCTATTCATCAGTCTCACTGTGCTGCTCCTCAATGTCCCCGCTCTCACCGTCCTTCTGCTCTACAAGCAGCCTGCTGTGAAAAAACGGCCTCACATTTGTCTCCTTCAGATCATCTAAAAATGACGGTTAAAGTCAGACGTGTAGAAAAGACTCTCCCAAGGCTCAGACTGAACTTTTTTAACCTAAATATACATAGATTGGTGATTTTATATCTGTTTGGTGTTATCATCCCATCCTGCTGTTGGCACTCTGGGCAATTAAAGGTTAAGTAAAAAAAAAAAAAACATGCCGTCACTTCAGCGAGGCTTACTAACTTCATTACATCACTACAATCTGGCACGACTGGCGAAGAGACTCGTAAGCAGCTCAGCTCGATACTGTTTTAACAGCAGTAATGAGAACAGAGTCTGTTGCTCCCAAAAAAAAGGCTTTAGTGTGCAGAAAGTTCACTGAGCTTCTTGTAAACTGAATGCACCGTTCAGCAGACCGTTTCATTAAGTCAAGTAAAGATTATTTAAAAGGTACTGTTTAATATACTTGGGCCTGTCTACTGTTTTATTGGTTCCTTCAAGCTTAGCAACAGCAGTGTGTTAACTGATAATATGAAGATTCCTCAAAGGGAAATTCATACAGGAAAGCAAAATACAGCAAAATGAGGTCAGCCTGCTAACTGGAGGCTTTCCAGCTCACATTGTTTAAACTGACTGGACAGATTTTATTCAGTAGGTCCATTTTTTGAACGTTTGCTTTTTCACTCTTTCAGTTTGAGGAAGCCTCTCTTTTGCAGGAACGCCTCGATCACATTCACACTGTTACACATTGATCCCTGGAAGCTGCTCAGTGCAACCACAGTCTAATCTGCTGCCACCGGAGCGTTTGGGGTTAAGGGTCAGTGGTGGTAATGAAGGAGGGGCAAGTGCTGCTTCTTCACTTTCCCCCACCCAGATTTATCCTGTCAGTCCGGGGACAAGCTCACATCTCTAACCTTTAGTTCCTCCAGGAAGCTGCAATGTTGTGATCACAGCAATTAACACATTTCTGTCTGTGTAACCTTGCAGTTCAGACAGGACCTTGTTGTTAAAGAAAACTTTATTTCCAAATACAGAATGTTATATTTGGCGGTATGGGTCTATTCTGGGACCTCCCTGCCCTTCTATGTGCATGCATGGAAAACTTATGATAAGGAGAGCAGCAGCAAAGACCCTCCTAGGGTCCAAAACAGAGCAGGCATCAATGGCAACAGAAATGACATTGATTGCAGAGGAAGCAGCGAAGGTCGGCAGGCTAAAGCAGCTTAAATAAGGCGCCCTGAATGACCAACTGGATGCTTGAAGAGAATCAGCTGAAAATTTACTGCAGATTTGTCCAATCACTAGTATTTTACTGCTACTAGAGGTTTGATTCTTACAGGAAGCACGTAAATATCTGTTTCATGGGGACTTTTCATTAGTCTGATAAAGGATTGCAGTGATAAAATGGAGTAAATAAGACCTGGAGAGAGTATATTTGCTGAGCTACATCGAAGGAGGTTTGTTCTTATTCAGGTTGGTTCAGTGTGTCCGGTCTGAATAATGCAGGCAGAGTCTCAACTGTAGGAGTAATGGTACGTTGGCCGTTGTTTCACAAAACCATTCATACTCATTACAGCTGCAATTAGCCCCGAATGACATCGGATCACTGATTAAACAGACTGCAGAGCTGCTGGCTGCAGGGCGAGGGAATAATGAATGAGGGCTGTGACAGTGAGAGTTGGGACTGTGAACTAAATATACAAGAAAAAGAAATGTAAAACCACCTGAAGCCTCTTTAAAATGAATCTATTCCATTACAACCTGATTTGAGTGTGATAACTGGGATTTTTTTTTTTTGGTTTATTTGACATTTTAGAGGACCGTTGTCTCCCACGTGCAGCGGGAAGGCGTAGGAATACTGATTGTGCTGTTAGTTAGTGCTGTCGTCAGGTCACAGACAAGCCCGCTCACTCTTTAATTACATTTTAGATTCATGTCCTAATCAAACGCTGTGCTGCTCACCTTTTGGCTGTAGCACATTTTCACTGCTGCTCACCAATACGTGAATCTGCTTCCTCGTCGCTCCTCTCTCCCCACTTCCCTCAAGTTTTATCCTTGGAAAACATGAATAACAACCTCAGATGAGTTTCTCTGCAGTGTTAGTCAAACAGTATTTACAACAGGGAAGACCAACTTTAAGCTGTGGTTATTATCATTTTGATTTAAAGCTATGATAGTTAACATTTAAGCTTTAAACAGTGTATAAACTCTAGTTTTATGTTCTATATGAAGTTGAGTTGAGTTTTTCCATTATCCCAAATGTTTCCAACAATGTTCAAACTTAGAGAAATCTGTCATTTTATTCAAGTAACGCTGCGTTTCACCACTTGCCTGTCAATAGCGCCATATCCCCTTTGTGCTTTGTTGTAGTTGACTGCCAGAAGCTGTTTTATCCAGTTTATGCCACATTTTTACGACGTACTGTTACTGCTATTATCAGAGATTAATGGATTTAGAAATACGGCACCAAAGTAAAGACAATATTTTTATGAAATTGATTTTATTATATTGATGAAAAACAGAATTGTACATTCAGCATTAATGTTAATGTTTTAAAATCAGCAACATTACGTACAGTCTGAACCCAAACTGACACGTTCCACCTTAAACATGAGACGTCCACCTTAAATAGAAGAACTTCTCCTCTGACTAAATGACTAACAGCAGAATTCAACTGATGGAAACTGAATGAAAACACTGTTACAGCCTGAATCATCTTATGGAAATGTTCTTGTTCACTGGTGAGCTTCTGAATTAAAGACATCAAACCCAGTATGTCATTGTGTATTCATTGTCTTTCGTTGGATTGACTGAAATTTATTGCAAGAAATACAATCAGAGTAGCAGCTAAATTAGGAGGGAAGAGCAAGGTCAGGTCTCCACATAACTATAACAAAGTGTCTCCGTTCCTTATCAGTCGGCGCCTGTGAGTCGTCAAATAACAATGGTTTCAGGAGTACCACCAGGTGCAGGAGAGATTAATCTACGGCTCTTGTGACTTTAACATGAATAATAAATTTCTTACTTCCTAAAGAGGAATCTCTGCTATTGTATAAACAACCTAAAGAACTACTACAAGAGACAGTGTAACTCACAGGTTATATGTTGTATAAATAATGTTATAATGCTGTATAAATAATGTTATAAAGAGTTCAGTCTAGACCTGCTCTATTTGAAAAGTGTCCTGAGATAACTTCTGTTATGAATTGGCGCTATACAAATAAAATTGAATTAAATTGAATTATAAACATTACATTGTAAAAGGCACTCTATGTAAGGCAGTCTAATAGTTTTCAATTACAACATTGTTCAAATATTTTGGATCATTTAAACATATTTTACATATTGTGAACATTTCATATGCGGAATTAAAACAATCTGGAAACTTTTGTTATTTGGATCCATCAGCTTCCACAAACTGGTTGCTGGTCTTCCAGTCAAAATAATAAAGATTAATTTAAAATGACAAAGTATCGATTAAAAGAAAACCAAACAAAGATCAGAAAAAAAACAAATAAAGACTATTTTCAAACAAAATAACAAAAGAAAAACATTGAAAAAAAAATTTTCTGGTTCCTTCATTTAACAAAGTCACTGATTGTTATTATGCTGTTTGAAGAAATTGTGTCTCATTAAGATTGTTAATTATTAATCTTAGATTTAAAAAAGAGGACACATTCTTAAATTCAGCTCAATAAAGTGACTTAAATGCTTATTTCAATAATCTTAATGAGTTTTAATTGCTTGTAATAAGCACAACTGGTTTCAATTTTGGCATTTTTCTAGTTTTAATTGCAATATTACAGCCTTTAAGTGGATAGATTTTCATAATGGTTTTAAGAAAAAGAAATTCGCTGATTTTGCTCAATACCAGAATATTTCATTATATTTAATAATATGTGTCTGTTCCTGCAGTGTTGGAATAATGAGGAACAGGTTTCAGTTTAACAGGTTCAATTCAGAGACTTTTCTCTTTAAGAAATAAACATCATGAATATAATCATCCTCTTTATCTCTAACTGCTCTGTTCCACTGTCACCCAGACCTTCACTGGTAATATCTTCAGTGGGACTTTATCCACAGTGTAAATGTATGGAAACAACCTCTCAGTGAAAGTGTGTGTGAAGGTGTGTATGTGTGTGTTAGTATCAGGATCAGAGAACGACAACTTTCCTCTGTTCCAGTCCAGATTCACTCTGATCCTCTGGACCTTCTTCTGAAATACAAGATCAGTTGGTGGAGCTGATGGTGACCGTGCTGAGTATTTACCTTTATTTAACCATATTACCCAGAATCCAGACAGTTTGTCTCCCTTCCTCTGGACAGACTCTGCTAACACACCCAGAAACCAGACTGTATTGTCTCCAACCTCGACATCCCAGCTGTGAGTCCCTGAGTTAAAGCCCTCAGAGCCCAGAACAGAGCAGTACCAATCAAACCTCTCTGGATTATCAGGAAGCTGCTGTTTCTCTCCTCCTCTCACACTGGTCAGATCTTCAGACAGGATGAGTCTTGGACGAGCAGTGTTTGGATCCAGAATCACAGGACTGTAGGAGACCATGTCCTTCATCTTGTTCCAGATGTTGAAGGTCAGGTTGCCCAGGTGTTTGGCCTCGTCTATCAGAGCTCCTGAGGGCAGCTGTGGATCCTCCAGCAGGGGGCGCTGCTGGACTCTTTCCACTGCAGCCTTGCAGTTGTTCAGGAATGAGACGTCTTCAGCTCTCAGCTCCTCCTCTGTGGCTCTGACTGTGTCTGAAAGAGCTGCTATCTCTCTGCTCAGAGCCTCCATCTTCTCCTCCATCATCTGACTCTTCTGCTCCTCTTCCTCCCACAGCGCAACCAACCTGGCCACCTCTTCGTCTTCTAGAAACTGCTGAAGCTTCTTAAACTGCTCCTTAATCAGCCTCTCTGTGCGTCGGGCCTGGACCTTCATGTGTTCTGCTGTTAAATTAAACTTCACTTTAACTTCTTCACAAACCTTTAACTTCTCCTTTAAGGGCTCCAGAGTTTCCTGAAGTTCCTTCTTGTGATGTCGTGCAGCTTCATCAATGGGTCTGAATCTGTGGTTGGAGTGTTTTTCTGAATCTCTGCAGACGACACACACTGGCTGCTGATGGTCCAGACAGAAGAGTTTGAGTTTCTCAGAGTGCAGACTGCAGAGAGCCTCTGAAGATCTCTGATCTCTCTCCTGTAAGAAACTCTCACACAGGTTCTTTAAAGTCAGATTACAGGGTGGTTCTTCCCTCGAAGATCTTCTCTTACAAACTGGACACTCACGTGTTTCTTTCTCTGTCCACCAGCTCTTCAGACAGTCTTTACAGAAACTGTGGCTGCATGACAGAACAACAGGATCTCTAAAGACATCACGACAGACCGGACAGTAGAGATCCTCCTCTAATCTGGAAGCCATTTTGTCTCTGAGTGCAGCTGGAAACAGCAAACAGCACGTTAAACAGGAAGTCAGGTGTGTTTCCTCACCCTGCTGTAAAATGTTGCATCAGTTACTTTCACTTTGAGTCTTTGAGTGTTTATTTCAGTCAGCAGCAGGTTGAACTACTTCAGTTTACTTCAGTACTCCGTCCTGTAACTGTTCTCCCTCAGTTAAAGTCACAGATTTGTAATGAAGGTAAATCTTACCGTCTGTCTCTCCTCAGTGAGAACTGAACAGGAACAACCTGTTTCCTGGTTGGTCTCAGGTGATGTCAATAAGGGGCGGAGCTTTGTCAACTGACTGCTGTGTCTCATTTTAAAGGGAAATATGATCCATCACACTGCTCTGAGATCAGGTAACGTAGAAAACATGACCAGAGCAAATTGATTATGTGATTTACTTTGTTTTAAATCATATTTTTAAAAAATCAAGAACAATCACTCAATAAAGTCAAAGTTATATTTCACTTATATCTTTTGGATGTTTTAGTAAAATGATTCTCATCATGATTCTCATCATTTTACTGGTTAATAAATAATTAAATGTAACTGTCAAGTCCTCCTCCTGTTCAACTTCCAAAGGACACAGGGACAACTCAAATTTCCTACTCACTTTTATTTTGGCTTTGTCAGTTGATTGGTCTGTTCAGTAAATTAGGTTGTAAACCTTTAAAGACAGAGAAACAAAAGTTACAATTTTAATTTAACATTTTTAATGAATTTTAAATGAATTTAAACATTTAATTAAACATTTTAAATGACTTAACCACTTAAGCCTTTTAAATGGAATAAAGAAAAATCTAATTTCATGAATTTTCCAACTTTTTTAGTAAAGTTTTAACATTTTTAACCTTGTACTATCCTTTTGTATCTTATACTTTTGATTTTTCTAACTCAAAATGAAATATTATTTTAGCACAATCCCATTTTCCACAAAATCAATGAAGTCAATGCTGCAATGTGTTCCTTAACCAATCTACACAGCAGTTAAACATAAACTTGAACATATTAAGCAGCATTTCAAACACCATGAAAGTAAACAAAACATTTCACCGACCATTGGCGTCTTTGGACTGAACCTATGAGTGAACCTGGAGCGTCTTCTCTCTCTGAATTGTTTGTCTGAATGACTGAGAACCTCCATGTCTTCACAGGTGCTCTATCAGTGACAATGACTGATCATGTGACAATCAGCCAGTTTGCTGCTGCTGGTGCACTCTGGGAAGTGTAGTTCTTCAAGACCCATTCCTGAGATTCAGCTCACCAGTAACTGTATTCTGGGTATTTTAAAAATATTTTCAAACATATTACTACTACTACATATTTTGGGGTATTTTCAAATTTTCCCCCCTCATTTTCTACTCATATTAATGTGTAAAACACAAAAACACAGAGTCCACTGGAGCTTTAACAGTCACTGGAAGAACATTTACAGCTTTCTGTAAATGTTTCTGTGCAGTACTTGTGTTGTAAAGTCAGCTAAGCTAGCAACACACTAACAGATCAAACCAGCCAGTAGTAACTCTTGTCAGACTCTAAGTTGGTCTGATATAATCAGGAGTTGGTTGGTGATTAAAGCTGCCACCACATATGTCACCTTCCTCCAGATCAGCCAACAATAAAATGAAACTGCAATAGTTTCAACCAGTAGAGGGCGGTCACTATGCAGAGAGAACAATTCAAATACTTTCCACTAAAATGTCAAAATCTGGACTACACTGGAACAAGACTCCCTGAAAGAGGCCCAACTCGACTACAAACAACATAGCCATTTTGAACCAGAGCTCTCAGGTGTTGGAGCACTACAACAGTTCATTGGATTATAACAAAGTATATTAAACAACATGCTGTATTCTGGGATTAGGGGTGGACAACAAACTGCATTTCACCAAGTTTTTTTACTGCTTTGTTTGAGTCTGTTTGTTGCTAATGTTACTGTTTGATATGATACAAAAAGAAAAATATAACTGACTGCAAAAATGCTTGTAACATACTTTTGTGTTCACTGAGCACTACGTCACATAACGCTACTGAATTAACCAGAACATTTCTGAAGTCGGGTGAGAGTCAACAGGCTATAATATGTAACATTTCCTGATTAAAATGTCTATAAACACACGAGCTATGTGCTGTATGTTGTTGAGTTGTGTATTTAGATTTCTCTGGGATGAACATTTGGGATAATCTGTCAGTTTATTCAGGTAACGCTGCGTTTCACCGGTCGCCTGTCGATGGCCTCATATCCCCTTTGTGCCTGGTCAGTTTTTCTTGACTGTTTATTCAGTTGAAGCCACATTGTTACCATCCATGTTTAGATCTTGGTGCTTTTTAACTCTAGATTTGAACCGGATGAAGGGTTTTAGTCATCGGACGTCTGGATCTTAAGTTATCAGAGAAACAAGCTGAGCTAACGTTAGCAGCAGCTCGGCTCGCAGCCCCTCCGGGACGTCCTTTGTCTGTCCAACAGCGTGGGAGAAGCAGTGATTGTTAAGGTGGAACTGCTTTATTCAGTGTGTTTAAGGTGGAACTGCTTTATTCAGTGTGTTTAGTGGTTTTAATCAGCGGGTCTGTTTGTGTTGGAGAGGAGGAGACCTCTGTGGATAACTGGGCTCCCGGTAGAAACCTCCTGAACCATGAACACTGAAGGAATCCTAACCGGGATGAAGGTGATTAGTAAATAAATCACCTGGTATTTTACATGCATTCAAATCAGCCCCAGACTCCCTTGAAAAATCACAGATTTCATCTTTTTCATTTCATCACAGAGTTGTTAAGTTTGGGGAAACGATGTTGTGAAATGCGGTCTACCACCATTTCTTACTCGTGTGACCCTTCTTGTTAATTTGGCAAATGTAAATTAAAGTTTTTCCTTTCTCTGTGTAAAAAAATATTGTGTCTGTTTTTGTGTGTTGTAGTCCCATCTGTATTAATTTTTTCATGATTTAGAACAAACAACAGCAACGATGATATCTGCTGTATTTCGCTGTAGTTTTCAGTTCAAGTCTCTGAAATTATCCTCGGTATCCGGGAGACAAACAGAGTGTCTTCATCTGCTGTTTCGGGGGGAGGTTCAGTGTGTATGGCAGTGTGCGGGTGTTTGGGCTGGTTATGGATGGGCCTGCCTGCTGCCTGTGACACTGCAGAGACTGAGTTATGGCTCGTGTTGTGGCCGCTGATCTGCGACCGGCAGGGTCCCACCGAGCTCTGATCAACTCTCTGCAGCCTGAGAGTGCCAGAAGAAATGTAAGATGATGCTGCACATCGCAAAACACTCCTTACAATGAACACTGTACTCACACCATGTGAGGAAAAATACCATATACTCACTGTTCACTACAGCTTTGACTATCTGATAGCTGCTTAATGGAACTTAAAACTATGTATATTACACTCATGCAGCATTTCTCCAAACTTATTTAAAATGTGTAACTTATCTGAATAAAGAGACTACCTCTAAGTAACTTATTGTACTTTTTACAACATTTATTCAACAGCAGTTATTGTATACTTTTCAGATTGAGATTATAATACAAAATATAATAAATATATGAAATACATATATCTCTAATTTTACCTCCAAAATCAGGTCTTTTTGATCAGTTGCCATTCTTCAAATAGTGGTACATGCTGTTATATAGAAAACACTGCTGCTCGACTCGTTACTGGGAGGCCCGATCACATCACTGCTGTGTTTGCCTCCCTGCACTGGGTCCCTGTGAGATTTCCAATTGATTTAAAAATTGTATTGCTCACTTTTAAAGGTCTTAACCAGACATGCTCCCAAATACATTTCTCATTTATTGATTTGTGCCCTCTTCAACCACTGATATCCACAGATGGAGCCATGATGCTTTTGCTAGCCTGTTCACACAATGGCAATAAAAAGTAATGTATACATATAAATAACATGTAAAATGCTTCAGAATCATGTTTTAAAGATTAATCAAACCCGAAAACCACTTTTTCTGCTAAAGATAGGGGAAAATATTTTGCTATAAAAATGGCAGGTTGAAATCCGGCTATTACAATTTAATTTGGACACTTTCATCACCAACCAATTCCTGTAAGACCTGTGGCCTGCTATGTAGCCATTAGCCTGACAGTGTACCACAGACACTAGAGAGTTAGCCTCTCTGAGCCACTAGCTTAGCTACCGTTACAACGTACAACAGGTAGCGCACAGATTGTTTTACAAACGGCCATGAATGTGCTTCTAGTGACTGTAAAAGCTCCAGCAGAGTCTGACAGCAGCTGCTCGTGACTGGTTAGCTCTGTTAGCTCTGTTAGCTCTGTTAGCTCCGTTAGCTCTGACTACCAGCAGCTGTACTGCTGTGAGGGAGGGAGCTAGCTAATTTAGGGGTTTAGTTAAACAAATGAACTGAATACTTCCTGAATATTGGATAGTGGAATAAGTGACATTCAGAAGTCACTGGCTCTTATTGTTTGTCAGCCTGATGCCTTATTAGTTTGTATTATCGGTTTGACGCACTGACACTAACGCTCATTTCATCCTTTTCTCTCCACCCTGTGCATTCATATCCATATTGTCCTTCCTCTCATTAATCCCCTCCTCCTCTACCTCTACCTCATCCTCATCCCCTCTCTCACTCTCCCTCTCTGCTTCATTCCCAGCTCATTCCAACTCGTGCTCTTCACCTCTCCCCCACCTCTCTTCCTCTCTACATCCCTCTCTACCTCTCCCCCTTCCATCTCCCTCTCCCCTCTCCCCCTCTCTCAGGTGAGAAGTGTCGGAGCTTTATTGATCTCGCCCCGGCGTCGGAGAGAGGTGAGTAATGACCGTCATTAGGCATCGCCGCCACTCCCTGCCGCTCCCCACCTGTTCGGAAGGCCGAGGGAAAACCACGGCAAAAAAATCCTACATATCCTCTTTCTGTGTTTGTTAGGAGCTTATTTTCATCTGTAAAACCATATTCAGACATATTTACCTGCAGAGAAGAAAATGTGATTTGTAATGGCTTTGTTACATTCTGGATTTTGTAATGGTGTAAGATGGAGGGTATAGTGGAGCAGGTGAGCGGGTGGGTGGGACAGACAGTCACGTGATGGGGAATGATACGTTGTCTGATTCTGTCACCAGAAAGGTAGATCCTCTCCAGAAAATAAATAATAAATAAATAATAAGTTATTTTTTTAACATTTTGTCATTGTTGTAGCTCTAAAATGATTCATGTATTTGTAAAAATGTGTAACCCTTACACTGCCAAACAATAATTTAAAGCATTTCGTCCTCCTGACCTGACTTGGCGCCTTTTTCTCTCTGAATCCTGAATAGTGGTGACTGCTAGTCTTGAGCATTGACAGTCTATATAATGGACAGAGCTTCCAGGTCTATGAAGTGTCTTAAACCTGCATTCTCTGTAACAGCCAGCAGGGGGCGGCTCCACTGGTTGCAATATAAACTGATACCATTCAGTCTTATGGAGAAATGAGCGACTTCTCAGTTGATTGATGAGCTCAGTAAACAGTTTCCTGATGAGTTTCTGCTCTCAGTCTCTAGTTTCAGTCTTCTTCCATACAGCATGATGTTCATTTAGTAACTGATGGTCCCATTTAGAGTAAAACAGACCATAAAGCAGGGTATGCTTTAGGGCGGGGCTACCTTGTGATTGACAGCTCATTCTCAGTGAGTCCGTCCAGCTCAACGCACCAAACTCAGATCAAACTGTCAAACTAGGCAGTGCTAAAGTGCTAAAACTAACAATTTCAATGAAAATGTTCCTGATAAAATAGCTTTCAAAAATACAAAAAGTACACGGGTTATGTTTTTAGGGTTAGAGTTGAGCTGAATTAGGGTACTAACACCTCGGTCAGCCTCCCGTGAAACCGCCTCCCATTTAGAAAACCTCTGTTTTAGACGACCCAAAAAGCAGTTCATCTGAAGCATCCTGAGGCCTTCGTTGTGATTATATTGACGGAGGAGGAAGTAGAAGGAAACTGACATGTATTAATTGATATGAAACAAGCTCAGCTTTTTTCCCACTGTGTTGTCAGTTTTGATTTATGGAAGTTAGAGGAACCCGCACCCCAACAAAATGGAGGACGATGCCTTATGTTCACATCAAAATTTTAAGCCAATTTTCTAAAGTTGTCACAAGAAAATGATTTTACGTTTCCATCAACAATGAACAAGAGATTTACCTTATCAGAGGAACACAGGCCTACTTTATGGCACAGCATTTCATTGCTGTTTATGTTAACTTCACAAATTAATTGATTTTCTCTCAGGAGACGGTGTTAAACCTGTTAACGTCTGGTTTTTAATCATAAAGGCAGTTTGAAGGAGAAGCTTTATGCTTGTCCCTGGTTTCCATCACATATATAAAGTTATATTGTCGGATGTTAATATTAAACGAGTTCAAACAGTCAAAAAAACAAACAACATCTTTTTCAAGATGATGTGACTAGCCAACGGCGGCTAATCACAGATTTCTTCATATGCTCATCTGACGACTGAGCACACCTACAAAGTCTGTCCAAGTTATCCGAGTCACCATAAGGAGTCAGGACTAACCCCTTCAAGTTTTGCAGAAAGGGCTCTTTAAGTTGTGAGCTTACTGATGGACATGTACTTGCAGCTATTTGCTAACAGCTAACTGCTGCTGATGGACTAGGAGCTTGAGGCCCTGATGCTCCTGTACTAGAGATACTGTATAAGGTGATTCATATTTTCCAGTTTTCCTTTTGGGCCTCTCATCAAGGGGATTACATCACACTACAAACGCCTTGAGAAACTCTGTTTAATTGCTCGAAAGTGTGCATCTTGCACAATTGGATCAAAGACTCCAGCCAAATGTCACCCTTTGGTACAGGGAGATTTTTAAACACTCCCACCCTGGTGAAAGATTATAGATTGTCTCAAAAGGAGTAGAAGAGCTATATCTGAAGGTTTGGTCACCATTTCTAGAGGATTTACCCGCAGACCTGAAAAACGTACTTCTAAGGGGCGGTGGAAGACCCCTCTTTTAAACCCGCAAGTACAGTTTAGATTATTTCCAAGATATTTGGTCATTTAAATCAATTTCCATCACTGGAAACCTAGTCTCTAAATTTCCAGGTTTTCCAGCATATGATGAAACCCATTATATCTATGTTGGATAAACAGGGTGATGAACTGATGAACCTGCGCGAAGGGCCAGTATAAGACAAATACGGATGCTTTGAAGAGTGAATGATTACTCTTGTGTAGTCAGATTACGAATATAGAGCTGGAAATGAGCATAACAGGTTAACTAATCTGTGGCCTGTTTTTAATACGACCCCTCATGCAGAAGAGAATATAATGTGCTGGATAATGAGGGAGTCTCTCAGTTACCTCCTCCAGATTCCTCCGAACTGCAGATAAAAGCAGGTTATTTCTAACAGCACATGGTGTTTATATCCTGCAGCTCATAAAAGGAATATTTGAGCGTCCAGAAGAAAGGGAATATTTTGGTGCATGTGGGCGTAGCCACTAATTCGCTGTTTCATGCAGAGCAGGTAGTTAATAATGAAAGTTCTTTGATGGTTTCATCTGTTAATGCCATCTGGAAGAAGAGCAGGAGCTTTGCATCGAGCAGTGGTGGATGATATGATGTATTGAGCGGGGCGACCTTGCTTCCCACACAAGGATACAATATGTTAATCTGCCGTCCTATGAGCCCTACATGCTCACTGCGGTGTTTTATAACACACAGCTGCTCCTCAGTCGGATCCAAGTTCGTTCTTAATAAAAAAACTGTAACGAAACACTCATTGAAACAGGGTCATTGCCAGGATTTTAGAAATACTGTGATCGTGAGTGCAAAGTCCAGACCCACCTGAGAAATGTACGATTACCCACCAACCAAACTGTGTATTTTTTTGTATTCAAAATACTTTTTTGGTTCAAAATATGATGCTGTAGGTATCCTTCTAGCTTCATGTGTGGACGCATCTTCCATTAAAGTCAGGTGACGTAGAATAAAGAGCAAGAAAGTTCGAATATGAAGGTGGTGTTGATGGATGGCTCTAACAGGGACAAACCCAGGAGACCATAAACTGGTGTCCTGTGTGAGGCCAAAAGTAAACAATTTATTTTAAGTAACATCTATAAGTTATTTTTTATTCATCTACTTAAGTGACATCAGGTACATAACGTAACTTACAATCTTTTCCTAAACCTAAGCAAGCTGCGGCCAATTCACAACACCCTCTTCTGATTAGAGGAACGTTAACACTGTTTTTTTTATAGAAATGTCTGACGTAAAGTCCCAAACGGTCGACTCTATTTCATCATTGGACATGAAATGCTGATTTTTATTCATTTGAATGTCAATATTAACACCAGCATTTATGTTTCCTCACAGTACATAGTGCTATAATTTAGTTTACAGCTTAAAAAACTAGTCTCACGGTAGCGTACCTCCTTAAATACCAAATATATATTATCATAGGATGTAAATTATGAACTCTTCCTGTCATCAAACCCTCCACATTCCCCAAAATATCACTGAGACACGACCTCTGTGTACATAGAAAATGTTTAATCTTCAAGATTTGGTTGGTTTAGCTGCAGTAGTTTGGTTAGTAGACCCTCAACAGAAACAAATCCCCTTTCTCTTATCTTTTATTTACACCACATTTTGATTTAACTCCTGCAGACAAACAATCAGACAAACAAACGAGAGGGATAAAAAACCCTCTTTGGCAAAGAATGAAATTATTCTCAGGTAATCCAAAACTAAATGAAAGATGCATCCATCCATTGTGGAGCAGAAAGTTTGTTTCTTTTTGTTTTCCTCAATATGACAACTGTCTAAAAGAGAAATGTTGAACACAAACTGGAAATTACAGTAATAAAATCATCTTCTGGTAGCCAGATAAATAATAAAGACAATGGAAGCTCCAGTATAACGTCAAATGAGCTTTTGATACTAGCAGCTTGTGTCTGATGCTGCATAAATTACATTCTCTATTATTTAATTAAGAGCTAACACGATTAGCTAATTAGTCAACGGAAAATTAATCTATGAGAGTGAGATTTGCTCATTTTCTGTTTCATATTAGTGTTAATTTAATCCCTATTAGTTGGTGTAGCTGCGGTTAAAATGAAGGAATTTGAGTTCCAGTGTCAGTTTACGCTTAGAAAACTTGTAATGGAAACTTTAGAATTATTATAATTGATGAATCCAAAGAATTAATAGAAATATTAAGACATAAATCATGAGTTACATCCCTAATATGATTCATTAAAATGTATCTTCTGATTAAATTTTTTTTATCCTTAAAACCAGCAGTAAATCAATTAATCAATATTCTTGTCACTGATGTTCCCAGTGGGTCTAAATCTTATTAAACCTGCGTTCCTGACATGTTTTCAGAAATCTTAGAAAGATCAAAAACAGAAACTGTCGACATCATGCATTACTGACACACACACACACACACACACACACACACACACACACACACACACACTAGTAGTAATTAAAGATGTAATTATTCGAGATGAGTCTCGGTCCGATGAGCTCTTTCCTTCCTGTTATCAGTGGTGCTGCTTGAGTCCCGTTTTATTTTGGCTACTGTCTTCAGTTTAATGAAGTCTCAGTCTGCTCAGTCGACCGATTCATATTCAATGAGACAGGGAACGAGGGAGAAAATTATTTTTGGTCAATATCGTTTCCCTTACGGGCATTTTATACCCCTGAAATTTGTTTCCATCGTCTGATTGGAAATTAAAAGCTGCAGCTAACGAGGAACCAGAGAGTGTGGTTGGTGTATCGGAGCCTCTGCGCCTTCGTTAAAAGTCTAAAACCGAACAGCGGAGTTAAAGATCTCAAAATATGTCGAAAATAAGAATTCATTAGCTTAGAATGAGTTGGCCCAGTTTGATCATTTATTGACCATAAAGACTTTATTATCTTCAAAAATGCACTCAGAGGGGATTATTTAACCCATTGGCGCTTTATATTTTATGTATTAGAATTTATTCTGGTTGGTCTAATTGTCTTTTTTGTGCCAACATACTAGGGGCAAGTATCTAAAAGTACGACCTTTAAATTTTGATCATGAAAAATCACCCTTTTATCAATTTGTCAAAATCAGGATTTTTGAAAAATTAGGAAAAAATGCTAAAATTCTGTTTATTAAATGTTTGTTTCACTTATGTGTGCATATCCTTGATATTCAACTTCTTATAAAGTCATAGATATCAAATACTTGATTATGCTCCTTGTAGTTTCTTAAATATGTCCAATTTCTAACATTTGTATGTGCAACTTTTATGTATATGGAATAAATAAAAGGAGCCTCTCACAGTTGTGTACTGAAAATAATGAATATACCTCTCTTTTACTGCTTATTCTGGGGAATCTTCTACAATTGTAGGGGACGAAAACAGTCGCCCAATGTGCTCAAAGACTAAATATAATGTGATGAAAACAATCACTTTTAATTAAAATTCAGAATTTCAGTTGCAGGCACAAATGGGTTCAGACGAATTCCTCTCAAATTAGAGTCCGTGGTCTAAAGTGAATCTCCTGTGATGCTTGATGATTTTAATGTGTACCAACCTGTTATTTCTGCGAGTCCTTGTTGCTGCTTACTCTCACTTCTGATAAGGACTCAAACAGAGAGTGGAAAAGGTCTTTATTGTAGTGGGAGTATAATGAAAGGGGCGATGGCTGGAGATCTGAGGATAGAGGGAAGCGTGGCCCGTGGCGGTTACCGGGAGGCAGACTGTGATCCTGAAGCAGAGGAAACAACAAGGAATCAAAATCTCACTGAACTAAAGAGTAAAGTTTGTCAGAGGCGGCGATGAGCTAATTGAGATCAGGTGTGTAACTGCAACAGTGCCGGGAGCCAGGTGAGTCAGGGAGAGGTAGCCACGCCCACACCAGCAGACACATAGAGAGACAGACGGGCAGACTGGAAACGCAGGGAGACATTAGGAAACACTGAAATACATCAGCTGCCAGAATCAAAAATAAACAAATGACTCAACTTGCACTGTAATAAAAGTAGACATTAATGAAGTTATAAAATGTGACATAAATATATAAATATTTCTGTTTCATTTGCTTCTGTATCCTATTTAACTTACAGTTTGATTTATTGCTTTTAATTATGTTTTTTTTACGTATTATTTCCCAAAACTTATTTATTACTGTGTTTTCTTTTTACATTTCTGACTCATTATGCAAATGAGGGTGTGTGTTAATCGAGGTTTGTCATACGATCAACTTTTTGCTGGTTGATCGATCAGAACACATCGATTCACTTTAAATGAAATGTGTTTCACACTACTGAGACGTTGTCATAAGGAGATTTAACGTTAAAGTGGCTCCGACCAGGACTTAAGAACATTTCTGGCCTTGTACCATTCTATTTTGTTATTATATGATATGCCATCAAACACACCAAAAATGTTTTCATTTGCTGATGTATTCATTTGTCTTTCTATTAATTCCCCAATACATTTACTTTCCCAGTTAATTTTATTCAAATATATTTTATATCGATAAGAGTGCATAGATTAACTTTATATGACGCCGGTGGCCACTGAGACACTGTTGTAGATGAAGATTTAACGTTACAGTGGCTCCGACCAGGACTCTGGGTGGGTTGTATCATATTAAGAAAGTATTTTCTGATTTCCTTCGGCTGTTCTGCAATTTCTTTTAATTACACTTTTGTCTGCACCACATTCCTCCTCCTACCATTATATTCTGTTATATTACACTCAATGTCTAACGTAAAACTTGCCTCGACTGGAGAGAAGCGTGACACAAAATTAGCGACCAACTTTGTCTGCTCAGGGATTCCTAGCTCCCCCCACGAATACTCACTGATGTTCAAATTGAAAACTCAGCCTGGAGGTCGTACTTCCAACTCATCCTCATCCGAAGCGCAGCACAGTGCGAGCAGATAATCCTGTTTAATGCCGTGTTGTGAGCCTCATCGATTCAAGAGGAGCCTTTTGCCTTTTCAGAAATTATAGATGTGGAGAGAGCAGAGGAGAAAGAGTTGTGGTAGTGAGAGTGGATCCCGAGGGCAGCTTCGGTTGCAGAATGACAACTCCTCTCTGCTTTAAAAATGTTCACATTTCCAGAGCGTGAAGAAGTACAGTAGGGTTGTAAAACTTCATCATCCTGCATAATGTCTCTCTCTCTCTGTATGACCAGAGGGCTCGGCCGACACAGCATGGAGCCAATCAGTGTGTGTCAAACGAGCAGGTGGGGATATCAAACACACCTCCTCCCGTCGGCCGATCAGAAACAAATATTTCACCGCTGGTTTTGAGCTCTGAGTGTCCTGATTCGTCAAAGTTTCATCTGTAGTTTCTGGGTTAGCCAACGCTGGAGGAGTGAATGAAAGACAGAATAAATGGAGGGACAATTCAGCGCCTTCAGTCTGTGCCTGGAGGACAGAAATACAATAACAATGAAAATCTAATGTCCACATCCATCTCTGCACATTAAGGGCCAGAGTGAAGGTCAACGCTGATGTTTTAGTAAAAAAACAGGCACAGAAAGTTTACTTGAAGAGCACGTCAGATAGGAAAGCAACACAAAGCGCTTTACATAATAACATTTTTATTATTAGGGTTGAGCTGCTCTCATTGGCTGCTCGCCTGCTCACACAGGTTCTCTCTCTCTGGTTCTCCAGATAAACAGTAAAATGTGTTTGTGAACAGATCTGAGGAGAGAAATCGTCAACAACAGAATCTGGATCCATATCTGATCAGCACTGTTTGACAGTTTGATCTGAGTTTGGTGCGTTGAGCTGGACGGACTCACTGAGAATGAGCTGTCAATCACAAGGTAGCCCCGCCCTAAAGCATACCCTGCTTTATGGTCTGTTTTACTCTAAATGGGACCATCAGTTACTAAATGAACATCATGCTGTATGGAAGAAGACTGAAACTAGAGACTGAGACCAGAAACTCATCAGGAAACTGTTTACTGAGCTCATAAATCAGCTGAGAAGTCGGATTATTTCTAGACTGAATGGTATCTGTTTGTATTGCATCCAATGGAGCTGCCCCCTGCTGGCCTTTACATTGAATGCAGGTTTATGACACTTCACAGACCCTGAAGCTGTCCATTACATATATTTTGATCTAAATTCATTCAAATCTCTCATTTTTTAACTTCTTTCTGAGTTCAGTGTTTGGGTTCATTGTACAGTTTTAAATATGATACGAAATATCTGATTCAGTCAGTTGACTAAATGAAAGAAAAAGGATCCCTTATGGAAGAAGGTTGGGAACCACTGGTCTGAACTGTGAGCCCTTTGAAATCTGGTCTCTCAGCACCGACAGATTTCACCTCACGGTTCGTCTGATGGTCTTTTTTTTTCCTGGAGTGTCGAGTGGAAAAGCTTCAGATGTTTGACAAGTCGAATCCATGACGTCCAGAGTCCAGGAGCTCTTCTCTCTCTCTTTGTGAACTGAGTGTGTCAGAGAAAGCGACACAGAGCTAAAGGGAAATTGTAGTCAGACTCAGAAAGAGAGACATCCCACAAGCCATTGCTGCATTCAGTTTGATTCCTCCTCTGGCACAGATCCCAGTCTTTGTGCCTCATCTGAATGACAACGGCAGCTCTAAACAGACTTAAGATTGTCATTTGAGAGCATTTGAACCATACAGCTGAACACTGTGGATGATTTAACTCATCAGACACAAAAACAACTCAAAGTTCTTTACAGATAATAAAATAATAACAAGTGAAAATTAGAAAGTAGAAAATATTTCAACAGAAATTTAATAGGACAGAATGTGAGAATTAAATACCAGACGGAGGATGTGTGATGGATAATTATTTAAAGTTTTATATATATATATATATATATATATATATATATATATGACATTCACTGCCACTAGATGTCGCACTAGAGCACAAAACAATAGGCGCTACAGTAAACCAGACTCCATTAACAAAACCACTAATTTTACCTTGCAGGTAATCGTAAAACACACTTCAAAAACTCCCCATAAACTTCTTGGTTAGTCTTTTCAATAACCACCAACTCTGGTTTGGTGAAAAATAAACCTTCTGTGCGTTGTTTTCTTTGCAGGCGTGTTGTGGTTGTCGGTGGTGTCCGAGGTGCTCTACATCCTGCTGCTGGTGGTCGGCTTCAGCCTAATGTGTCTCGAGCTTTTCCACTCCAGCAACGTCATCGACGGGCTCAAACTCAACGCCTTTGCCGCCGTCTTCACCGTGCTGTCCGGTAAGCGCTCCAGACTTTTTTTGACTGAGGGTGGCACAAGTCGGGCACTGACTTATGTGTCTCAGCTTTCCAGTCATTCCCTATTTATGCAATTCCAACACTGTTTATGGACTCCAGAATGCAGAAATATTCAAAACATATGCAAAAAACCACATGTGAAATTGCCACGTCAGTTTTTCCATCCAACTTCTGAGCGTTATTTAGTCCACTTCCTGACATGCTAACATCACATGGTTGGTACCAATGGATGTGTTAGGTCTTCTAGTTTCATATGATATCAATTTCTTGCTTTAAAATGGAGCCTCTGAAAGACAGTACAAGTGGGGGAGGGAAGGCTCCCCTGCTGGTAAGATGGATGCCTGGTAAGACACATCAAACCTTTAGTTTAAAAGAATGCCTTTTATAGACTTCGAGGACCCTTCTTCCTCTGGTTGTTCTGTGTGTTTCCCCTTCTTCTTGTGCAGGATTGTGGCTGGAGGATGAGCTACACCTTAGTTAACTTGCTATATAGGGAGTTGAACCTGTTAGTTACATCTCTCTCTTCTCGCAGCCAGCCGGTTCTTGGTTTGTTTGTGTTTTGTGTTTATTTAGATTTGTTTTGTTTTTGTTTTTCCATAATCCCATATCCATACACTCACTACACTACTGACAACACTACATATATTGTTTATACTTTGTGCATAGTTTAATATTGGTTAAATACATTTCTTTTGTTTTAAAACCTTAATTATCTGTGTGGTCTCCCTTGTTTTGTCTGAACTTTGAGCCGGTTCGTGACAAAATGGGGTCTCGTAAAATTGACTAGTTTTAAAACTTTTGGCTTAGTCTGAAATAGTGGCAATTGATTTTTGACTTTACTGGTGATGACGTGACATTTGGAAATGTTTGTTTTGTGCCACATGGGATTGTGAAATTACTTCACTTGTTACGCTCTACCAATAAGTCTATGTCCCAACTCCATGCACTTTCAAAGTAGGTAATCCCAACCGGTCAGGGCAGCCACCCACCAAGAGCCAGGGTCTGCTCGAGGATTCTGCCTCGACGTTTTTCCTTGCCGCCGTCTCCAAGTGCTTTTAGAATGAGTACGTTCTACACCTGCTCTATTTGTAGAGTGTCCTGAAATAACTTTTGTTATGATTTGGTGCCATACAAATAAAACTGTATCGAATTGTAGGTGTTACACAAGAAATCCCTGCTGTGTGTGTGTCCTGTCTGGTCAGTGTCTGTCTTTAACTGCCTTCTTTGTAAAAGAGAATTTTTAATCTTGGTTCAGTTGGATCTCGTCAAACACAGTTAATAATTAAAGCTGAGAGCAGGATGACAGAAAGTTCAACATCTAAAAAGAAACTACAGACCTTGAAATTCCTAAAAAGGATGGAAACAACTCTCTTGGGGAATGATGGAAATTAGAGCCACTTGATTGTGTTTGATTGCTGTATGCATGAGTTGGGGTTCAGCCTCAGTTATCATAATATAATCAGTAGGCTGCTATAATCAATATATTGTGTTGCTGGAGGAGTTTAAAAATGGCTGACTTCCTGTTGGGTTTGGCATATGGGCCCAAGAGGCTTTTTTGTACATCTGGACATGATACATTGATACAGTGCATCCTCAAGTGCAGGATCTATTGAATCCGTAAAGCCAAAATAATTTAGCAGCAGGAGCCACAGATGTCATATTCCTCCTCTAACACACATTCAGTGCTCCGAGAGGCAGAAAGAGACCGATGCAGATTTGCGAGAGGTTGTCCGGGGGCAGAGGTTATCCCCTGGAAGCCTTCGTCGTGTGGGGACGCCAGGGATTTTACTCCCATCTCGTGTTAAACCTCTTACACAAGTTGTTGGCTCTGTGTCCGCCACGCTGCACACTGCTCACCGCCTCCTCCTCGGCGCCCCTCTCAGGACGCTTCCAACAGACCAGAGGTTGTTTTTTAAAAAGCGGAGAACGTGACCGTAAATCCTGTTCTTCACACATCACAACAGACAGTGACAGATTTAATCTGAATCACAGTGGTGGAAAAGTAACTAAGTACATGTACTCAAGTAACTGTGCTCCATTTGTCTGCCTTGACATTTTACTCCAGTAAACTGTAAGAAATAAAAAGAGTAATACAAATGGTAAAAAATAATGTAATTTTCTATAATTAAAATACTAGTTATAATAATAGTTTTTAGTTTTAATTTTACATGTTTGTTTGGCTTTTTAATGTTTAAGATCTTTACACACAAACAATGCAATGAGCTATAAATACAGGTGAACTCTGCTATAATACAAATAATTAAATTTACAGCAGAGTGCTGTTATTATTTGATTTTTCTTATTTTAAATCTGGATTTTAAAAGTTATAGAATTGTAATAAAAGTCATTATCTGTGAAATTACAGTAATTATTGCTGTTTACACTGATAAAAACTGTATTTGGACAGTTTACCAATGCTTATACACTGATAAACAACATTTATTCAACGTTTCTGTTGTGAAAACGTCCAGAATTATACAAAATATCTGTCAATTAACAAACTAATCCATGCAAAATTACAGAAGAAAACACAAAAAAAAACAGAACTTTTTTTACTGTTAATGTCATATTAATAATTTTAGAAATGTGTTAACAGTATTAAACTTGAATTTAATAGTTGAATCTATGAAGTAAACAATCAAATATTTTTATGTTAAACAAGGACATTTTTGTCTAAGCAGTTATTTTTATGATTATTTACAGATATAGTTACATAGTATTTAAATTCTTCATACTCTTCATCTGCATAGTGACCGCCCTCTACTGGTTGAAATTTTGTTATTGGCTGATCTGGAGTAAGGTGACGCAGCTGATTATATAAGACCAGCTAACAATAGTTGCTCATGGCTGTTTAGCTCTGTTAGCGACGCACCGCTAGCTTAGCTAAAATTACAACACAGAAACTTTTAAAAACATGTGTTGACTGTAAAAGCTCCTGATGATTCTCTGTTTCCATTTATTATCTTTAATATCAGTATAAAATGAGGAAAACATTTTTGAAAATACCCCAAAATATGAGTAGCATGTTGAAACTGAAAACCAGTAAATGATTAGAATAATCACAACGTCTAAAAGATATTAGTGAAATATAACTTTGACTTCATTGAGTCATTGTTCTCATAAATATTTCTTCAACATGAATTAAAACAAAGTACATCACACAATCAGTTTGCTCTGGTTGTGTTTTCTACGTCACCTGATCTCAGAGCAGTCAGCTGACAAAGCTCCGCCTCTTACTGACATCACCTGAGACCAACCGAGAAACAGGTTGTTCCTGTTCAGTTCTCACTGAGGAGAGACACACAGACGGAGAGACAGACGGTAAGATTTACCTTCATTACAAATCTGTGACTTTAACTGAGGGAGAACAGTTACAGGACGAAGTACTGAAGTAAACTGAAGTAGTTCAACCTGCTGCTGACTGAAATACAGTCCCTGGCAAAAGTCTAGTCACTTATCTATTTTGTAGAAACAACAGCTTATAACCTGACTTTTAATTAATCCATTGGTTTTAGAAATGGCTCACATGAAAGCTAAAACCCTCCCAAATTATGTTTAATATACTAAAATAAATTTGCTTCACTGAAGAAAGATTGATCATTTAATGAACACAGAAAGGTCAGATTTTGGCAAGACAAAAGTTTTGTCGCCTACAGAGAGTAATGTGAAAATTGAACAAATAATTTACTTCAAATACAAAAATATGTTGCATAACATCAGTGAATTAAGTAGTGGTGCTGTGAGATCCATATTTAATATCTTGTATGACTTCCATGAGCTTGAAGGACTGCATCCATGCAGTTCGACAATGATTCATACAATTTATTGATGAAGTCATCAGGAATAGCAAAGAAAGCAGTCTTACATGCCTCCCAGAGTTCATCAAGATTCTTTGGTTTCGTCTTCCATGCTTCCTCTTTCATTCTACCCAAGACATGCCCAATGATGTTCATGTCTGGTGACTGGGCTGGCCAGTCCTGGAGCACCTTGATCTTCTTCGCCTTGAGGAACTCAGATGGAAGTATGCGATGGAGCACCATCCTGCTGCAAAATTTGACCCCTTTTATGGTTGGGAATGTAAGAGGTAGCTAATACTTCTTGATATTTTAGGCTATTGATATTGCCTTCCACCCTGCAAATCTTTCGCACATAGTGGATGTAACCCCAGACCATGATTTTTCTGCCACCAAACTTAACTGTTTTCTGGGTGAATCTCAGATCCATGCGGGCTCCAGTAGGTCTCCTGCAATATTTGCCGCGGCTGTGATGTAATTCAACCGAAGATTCATCTGAGAAATCCACCTTCTGCCACTTTTCCAGCGTCCATCCTTTCAGCAGGCTGTGGTCCTGGGCAAATGCCACACGTTTTTTTAATTGCCTTTTGTTTAGTGCTGGTTTCTGAGCACTGATTCGACCATGGAGGCCATTTTGAGACAGACTTCTACAAACTGTTCTGGTTGACACGGGGACTTGAGGTGACCAGGCCTGGTGGAGCTCTGCTGCAGTGGAAAAGGGGCTGGCCTTTTTCGAGCCAACAAACAGTCCTCCCGAGCAGTTGTCTTGCGGGGTCTGCCGGACCTGGGCTTGTCAAAAACATCTCCAGTCTCTTCAAATCTTTTTCTTATTCTTTGTACTTGACGCTGAGACACACTGAAGGTGTCAGCCACCTCAGCAGTGGATCTGGTCTTCAGCCTCTTGATAATCAACGCTTTGGTCTCAGGGTGAATCTTAGGCATGTTGTCAGAGGTCAAGCTGCAGTTGATGTAAAGGTCTGGTGTGCTGGGGTTCTTTTTATACACACCCACTATTGATTGATCAATTATTGATCACAGGTGAGGCTGTAATCTAGGATTGGGTGCATCATATGACAAGGCGACAAGACTTTTGTCTTTGCAAAAACTGACTCAGTGGGCTTTACCAAGCTGTGAACGTTAGAATGCTTTTCAGCAGTTTCGTTTCGCACCAAAACATTATTCCAAAAGCTGTTGGGGTTGAAATTATTTCTTGTAAAAAAAAAAATTGATTAGACATATATTTGAGGGGCACTTAAGGTCAACTTGTACCCAAGCGACAAGACTTTTGTCAGGGACTGTAAACATTCAAGGACTCAAAGTGAAAGTAACTGATGCAACATTTTACAGCAGGGTGTGGAAACACACCTGAGTTCATGTTTAACGTGCTGTTTCCTGTTTCCAGCTGCACTCAGAGACAAAATGGCTTCCAGATTAGAGGAGGATCTCTGCTGTCCGGTCTGTCATGATGTCTTTAGAGATCCTGTTGTTCTGTCATGCAGCCACAGTTTCTGTAAAGACTGTCTGAAGAGCTGGTGGACAGAGAAACAAACACGCGAGTGTCCAGTTTGTAAGAGGAGATCTTCGAAGGCTGATCCACCCTGTAATCTGACTTTAAAGAACCTGTGTGAGAGTTTCTTACAGGAGAGAGATCAGAGATCTTCAGAGGGTCTCTGCAGTCTGCACTCTGAGAAACTCAAACTCTTCTGTCTGAACCATCAGCAGCCAGTGTGTCTCGTCTGCAGAGATTCAGAAAAACACTCCAACCACAGATTCAGACCCATCGATGAAGCTGCTCGACAACACAAGAAGGAACTTGAGGAAACTCTGGAGCCCTTAAAGGAGAAGTTAAAGGTTTGTGAAGGAGTTAAAGTGAAGTTTGATCAAACAGCAGAACACCTGAAGGTCCAGGCCCGACGCACAGAGAGGAAGATTAAGAAGCAGTTTAAGAAGCTTCACCAGTTTCTAGAAGAGCAAGAGGAGGCCAGGCTGGCTGCACTGAGGGAGGAAGAGGAGCAGAAGAGTCAGATGATGAAGGAGAAGATGGAGGCTCTGAGCAGAGAGATAGCAGCTCTTTCAGACACAGTCAGAGCCACAGAGGAGGAGCTGAGAGCTGAAGACGTCTCATTCCTGAACAACTACAAGGCTGCAGTGGAAAGAGTCCAGCAGCGCCCCCTGCTGGAGGATCCACAGCTGCCCTCAGGAGCTCTGATAGACGAGGCCAAACACCTGGGCAACCTGACCTTCAACATCTGGAACAAGATGAAGGACATGGTCTCCTACAGTCCTGTGATTCTGGATCCAAACACTGCTTATCCATATCTCATCCTGTCTGAAGATCTGACCAGTGTGAGAGTAGGAGAGGAACAGCAGCTTCCTGATAATCCAGAGAGGTTTGATCAGTACTGGTCTGTTCTGGGCTCCGAGGGCTTTAACTCAGGGACTCACAGCTGGGATGTCGAGGTTGGAGACAATACATACTGGTTACTGGGTGTGTTAGCAGAGTCTGTCCAGAGGAAGGGAAACAAACTGTCTGGATTATGGAGAATACAGTTCTATGGAGGTAAATACTCAGCACGGTCACCATCAGCTCCATCAACTGGTCTCGTAGTTCAGAAGAAGGTCCAGAGGATCAGAGTGAATCTGGACTGGAAAAGAGGAAAGTTGTCGTTCTCTGATCCTGATACTAACACACACATACACACCTTCACACACACTTTCACTAAGAGGATGTTTCCATACATTTTCACTTGGGATAAAGTCCCACTGAAGATATTACCAGTGAAGGTCAGTGTGACAGTGTAACAGAGCAGTTAGAGATAAAGAGGATGATTATATTCATCATGTTTATTTCTTGAAGATAAAAGTCTCTGAATTGATCCTGTTAAACTGAAACCTGCTCCTCATTATTCCAACACTGCAGGAACAGACACATATTATTAAATATAATCAAATGTTGACAAAATAATCTGCCAATTGAGCTGAATTTAAGAATTTAAACCCTAATTAGCAAAACAAATCTTACAATAAGACACAATCTCTTCAAACAGCATAATAACAAGTGAATTTGTCTTAAATGAAGGAATAAAAAACATTCTTATTATTGTATTTTTTTATTACAATAATAAAAACTAAACAGCTGCTTCATTTCCAACACTGGGACCAGACGACTTTCTCTGAAACTGAGAAGTTGTGTGAGTGCTCTTTCTACTGTTGTTACTGGTTAAATCAAGCTCAATATTAGCTGTAATATCTTATTAAGACAAAGTTACATATATTTTATTAAAATCAGATTCAAAAACATGTTTGACAAGATTATTTTTCTATTAGAACAAAAATAAGACTCAAAAATAATTTCTCAGAAACAAGGATTTTTTACTTTCTTGTAATTAGTTTTTTGCACTGAATAATATGTTTATTATTCTGATTGTTTTTATTTTCTTTTTGTTGTTATTTAGTTTGAAAATCACCTTTTTGTTTTTATTGTCGACCTCAGATGTAAAATTGTTTCATTTAGTTTCTGGTCTTTGTTTGGTTTTCTTTTCATCGTTACTGTGTTATTTTAAATTTATTTTTTATTATTTTGACTTGAAGACCAGCAACCAGTTTGTGGAAGCTGGTTGATCCAAATAATTGATACAAATTAATCAATAACTGCATGTTTGAGCAACAAAGTTTCCAGATTGTTTAATTCCACATATGAAATGTTCACAATGTGTAAAATATTTGTTTAAATGATCCAAAATATATGAACAATGTTCTGTTTGATGTGATGAAGTGGAGATGATTCAGTCTGTAACAGTGTTTTCATTCAGTTTCCATCAGTTGAATTCTGCTGTTAGTCATTCAGTCAGAGGAGAAGTTCTTCTATTTAAGGTGGACGTCTCATGTTTAAGGTGGAACGTCTCAGTTTGGGTTCAGACTGTATGTAATTTTGCTGATTTCAGAACATTAATTAACATTAATGCTGAATGTACAATTACTCCTGTTTTTCATCTGTATAATAAAATAATGTTTCTAGCTCAGCTTGTTTCTCTGATAATTCAAGATCCAGACGTCCTATGAGTAAAGTCCTTCATCCGGTTCAAATCTAGAGTTAAAAAGCACCAAGATCTAAACAGTGGATGGTAACAATGTGGCTTCAGACTGGATAAACAGTCAATGTATGACAGCTTCTGGCAGACAACCACAATGTTGACGCAGGCACAAAGGGGATATGACGCCATCGACAGGCGGCGGTGAAACGCAGCGTTACCTGAATAAACTGACTGATTTTCTCTGAGTTTGAACATTGTTGGAAACATTTGGGATAATGTAAGAACACAACTCAACTAAATAAAACATAACTTTAGTGTTTACAGTCATTTTAATGCAGAAATATTACATATTAGAACTTTAAAGCTTTCAAAATGTTTGCAGCAGAAACAGGAAAGCAGGTGAAGGATCTTTACCGCCATGTGACACACTCACACTCATTTCCTAGAAACCTCTGTCATCATGGTGTGAAGGTCGGGGAGAAATGGTTCTCTCTTTATGGTGAACTGTAAATCTGGAGCAGCTGAGGTTTATTTACTGTGACACACACACACACACACACACACACACACACACACACACACACAGCCTCAGTGATTACAAACACAGACACGTGGCTGTAACCCATCGCACACGTCCACGTGACGCACAGACGTCTGCATTAATCTCTCATTGAGCCTGTTTGATTTACTGTATGTTTATGAGTGATTATGTCCCCTATCTCTAATTGATTGGTTGTCTCATTACTGGCAACTTAAATCAATTGGCTCTGCATAATGACTAATTATAATAGTTACAACATGTGTTCTGATTTATTACTGATATTAACGTTGAGCTGTAACATGGAGGAGACGTGATTTACTGTTGTTTCGTTAATGGTAATTAACAGCAGATGATCTTGTGTTATGTTTAAGAACATGTTGATGAAGTGGAGCCATTTGTGGGGTTAAAAGTGAAAGTTTTAAACCTGATGGTGGCGCTAGAGGGAAGGTCGAGTTATCTGTTTTTCTCTTCAATATCTGCCTTAAAATCTTATTTCTTTGTATTTATTAAGTTGCCATCAGTTTGTTTTCATGCAAAGTTCTTTTTATCTGCAGTTTATTAGGTTGAAAACCTTAAAACAGAAATCATAAACAGAGAAAAAGAAAAGAAACGTTTTAAGTTCAGTATTAACAACAGTTTCCATTTTATACTTTCTATATTATTATAAATATATTACTTCTATATCGTATTCCACCAGCATTTATTACTCAGAGATTATTATTATTAACATTCAAATAAAAAGAAAGCATCAATACATCCAAAAAATAATTAAACTTTAACCACGACTCTTAAAAGAATAATTATAGATAATTATCGGTCTCCATAAGCAATGCAAACAATATTATACTGACACTAAATATGATCCACTATCACCATAATAATGTAATTAAATAATATTAATGACCGTAATGTTGAAACTTATTGAACAAACTGAACACCCACATGTTAACATTGAACACCAAATAAACGTTTTAATACAGTAAACAAGCATTTAAACTGCACATCATTATATTCAGACATTTTATAATTAGCATTGCAAATCAACTGAGTAAAGAAACACACACCAATACTGACGCACAGAAGAAATAATAATATTAATAATAATAATAACAATAATAATGGTGATTTCGCGCACAGCACTAAGAACGTTTGTTGTCTTCTGATATCTGAGTTAAAGTGAGTGAGTTTAATGATATTGTGCCGCAGTGCATCAGCATGCAGAATAGATGCATGCCGGTATCGTGAATTAGTGATGAATCGCCCTCATGCACGAATCACACATCAATAATAGCCAAACTTTACGCCTGAACCATGATGATGAAGATACAGAAAGACAGAAATGCAAAGACATCTGCTACCTAAAGCTGAGAGCCTCTCTGAGTCCAGCAGCTATATCAGTGTTACTGTTTTAAATCTCTGCAGCTCTGCAGACCAAACTCCACTTAAAAATCAGGCATTTTAATACTAATGTTCTTATAGACAATCACATCTGCTTCCTAAAGTGTAGAGGCACAAATAGCACATCAGCAATATTTAAGAGACTCCCCCAAAGTTTCACAAATCATGTTTTCAGGGGAGCTCTGGAGTTTGCACCCTGATAGACTAAAGAGGGGTTCATCCTCTGAGGAGCATCTACAGCAGCAGTTAGTCTTTTTGATACCTTGCCATAAAGGGATGAATGTGACCTGATGATGATGATGATGATGAACACTCATAGCAGGTTATTGATGCTCATGTGGAGAGTCCAAAAACAATTGTTTGTACATGTTTGTGTGTGTATTTGACAAACAGTGCTTGTAATGACAGTGTGTGTGTGTGTGTGTGTGTGTGTGTGTGTGTGTGTGTGTGTGTGTGTGTGTGTGTGTGTGTGTGTTGCAGGTCTTCTGGGTATGGTGGCCCACATGATGTACACTCAGGTGTTCCAGATCACAGTCAGTCTGGGTCCTGAAGACTGGAGGCCTCACAGCTGGGACTACGGCTGGTCCTTCTGGTCAGTCCGTACACACACACACACACACACACACACACACACACACACACACACACACAGATATACCAGTAATTCTGATAAAACTGCATTAATTAATGTTTCCACTTGTTTTAAACTGACCATTTAAAATTATCTGGTGACTGACAACAGCTAGCAATATGTAGGAGACAGATTCTGAAATAATAAACTTAAATAGACGATGCAACATGCTGCCAATGACGTTCATTTTTTGGATCAGAAAACAAAGAAGTGCAGCTTGAACCTCCATCGATGGACGACAAGTTTTCTAATTCCTCTCCTTCCTGCAGTGAGGGGGGACGTGTCCTCAGGCGCACCCCATCATCCCTCCATTCAGTCGATCATAAATCATCTGTTTAGGATGTTGCCAGAGGCGTTGTACTGCAGGAGCGTTTCGGCACTCGGTGATGAGGTACACAGGGAGCGTTGAAGTTGTTGTTTCTGGGATAATTAACCAGTCGAGACGCACCTTGACCTCCGCTGCTCTCCGCTCGGAGGCTGCAGCTGCTGTCTGAGTTCAGTCTGCTTGTGGATGAAGGACAGACGATCAATTCATGTTCCTGTGAATGTGTGAATTTGATAAATCGCACACAGGAGTAGCACATATTAGATTTCTTACAAAACCTCAGAATATTATTATTATAATTTTTAAACAGTAGCTGTTCTAGACCTTTCGATCAAATCAACATCTTCTTCAGCTGTAATAGAATTGTTAGTATTTTAAAGGTATAATATCTCATATAATAATACTTATATACAATATCTACATACATATTGTGTTATTGTAAGTTACTTTAATTAGCTATTTTGAATTCTTGCTACTTCCTATTTATGTATTATTATTTTCTTACTTATTCATTCATTTATTGCTATGCATATTCACATAGGAACATAGGTCAGTACTGTAGATACAAGGCATAGGTTGGTGCTGTAGATACAGGGCATAGGTCGGTGCTGTAGATGCAGGTCAGAGTTGTTGAGTCATCCAGTTGTTTAACCCTGCCCAAAACAAAGAAAAGATTATTAAAAGAAAACACAAAGGTATAACATCTTAACATTTCTGTATTAAAATGTCTAAAATGCTACATGTATGATATATATTTCCAATAACGTTCAAACACAGAGAAATCTGTACTTTTATTCAGGTAACGGTGCGTTTACTTGCTTGCCTCTAGTTGCTATGTCTTCCAGGTAAACACGGGATATATCGGATCCGTTAGAGTGAAGAAGGAAGTTGGCAAATGTGTTTAAAAGTAACATTAATAAAACATAATATGTTACCTTACCCGACCTTGTAGTGAAACTCAATTACCAAATCCTGCATTACAAGAAAGGACATAAATCAACAAAAAGAAAACAAAAAGTCAGAGTGAAATATGTGAAATTTCTCGCACCTGTTAAAAGGAGATTTTCATTCACATGAAGGCCTCTCATTAGACACCATGAGGGAGTCGTTCAGGATCGTTAAAGTGGAATAAATTCAGCAGGAATGATTAACCTCTACTGGAGCAGAAGGCCAAAAAGCTCCTTCAGGACATATATCAAACTGTGAGAGCGATGGATGAGTGATGTGCACTCTCACCTCTCACATGTTCTGTTTAAAGCTCTCGAGAAACCGACCATCGCTTTATTTCAGCCTCAGAGAAATGAAAACAGGTCAGTGGTTAAAATCCTCACCGCAAGTGTTTAAAACAAGCTGGGATTCCCCTCTTCATGTAGGTCTGTATGTTATGTTCCTTAAAGGTTACATATATGAAAATCAGCATCTCAGACCAAAACAACAGGCGCTGCGACTGACTCCAATGATAAAAATAGTCATTTTACCTTGCATATCTTTATAGTATTGTAACTTCATTCAAAATTGACAGGAACTAAATAAAACCTTTTTTGTCTTTACAACAATTACCAACTCTGGTTTGGTCACAATAAATCCTTTATTCATCGAATTAGGTGACAAAATAGCCGTATGGTTCATGTAACGTGCTAATTTTTTGGGGCGTGACAGCCCTTGACCGGCAATTCAAGAAAGTAAAATAATATCCATTTATCCAAAATATTATATTTGGGGACAAACTTTCCCACTATAATAAACTTACATTTTTATACTTATAAAATTAAAAAAAAATTTTAAAATTATAAAAAACAAATGCACCAGTCCAAGTTTGTCTACTAACAGTAGTTGTTGTTTTGTTCCACTAACAGTTTCCTCTGATTGTATTTTTTTTTATCTCTGAATTGTTATGTGCTTTCTTGTGAGCTTGGACAAACTAGTTTAATCGTAAGAGGAAAACTCTTCAATAAGTCATGCATATATCAGGGGAAATGTTGAAAAACTTCAGTCATTTAATGGAGAAGACCGCCATATGTACTTTGTGCTCAGGTTTTTAAACATGTAAATGACTCATGTGCTCAAGACAAAATTAATTTTCTTCATTTCTGTATATGTGCGAGGGCAAACTCTGGCGAGTTAAATGACAGTAAAACCACCCAACATGTGGGCTGAAAGATTATCGGAATGTTGCTAGTGCAGCATGAATAGTCTGCTCAATCCCATTACGGTTAGGATACCATATTGCAAGTTTTAAGATCATCTAACATGGGTTTTAAGATGGTTTGTAAACCACAACGTTTCAAAATGTTGACTAAAAAGCAGATGGATATGCTTAAGTTTGATCATGTTTGCTGCAATGCCAATATTAATAAAAGCACAAAGCTTGTGTGTTTAGAGCCTAAGGGGTTGACAATCTTCATAGAAAGAAGACGTAAGGCAGTGGATTGACTTTGAAGAAGGGATGTTCCGAAGTAAGTACCAGATATAAAGAAATAAGTTGTTCTAGATATTTTTAAATAGTGATAGGAACAAAAGTTTTCTGCCTAAAACGTGATGCACGGGACAACCAATTTAGCTTTGACTTACAATGTTCTTTAAATGTATGGAAAAAAAATCCCAATATAAAAAAATGAACCCATTTAGGAAACGTAATGTTCTTTAAAAAACAAAATAAAAGTTTAGGTATTTAAATTTTGTGGAAGATGGTTTTATTTGATGAGACAGAATTTTCATTAAAATTTATTGATTTATAGTTGTTTTTATACTAAAGTTGTTGTAGTTGATATAAAGTTCATAAATGGATAAGGCAACGTGTTAACAGCATTAAGGTAAAGGTGGTTCAACTTGTGCATCTATATGGCCGTGGCATTTAATAGAGAATGTTTATCATACGGGTCAAGTGACGGGGGGATTTTCACCCACCACAAAAATATTTAAAATAAGTGGAGGAAGGAAGGATCTTCATGTAGGGTGGGAGCCAAGTGAAAAAAAGTAGGCAGAAACCAAGTAGTTGTTAAGCTGAGTGTACTGAACAAAAAAATGAAAAGTAGAGCAGACGCTTTGGTTAACCACTGTGTTGAAAAGGGTGAAGCTTAAAGCAATGTTAAACAACCATGTGTTTACCCCAAACCCTAACTAACTGCGTACTGTCATGAAACTGGTCGACCTTTTTAAAGATGTGCGCAGATCAGGGCACGAGAACATTGAAATGAAAGTCCTTAATAATTATTTTAAATAAAACAAAGCTCTCAACCATAGGTAGCATGTCTCCTTTTTGTATAAAATACCTTTGTGTTTTAGAAACATAATTGACAATGTAGTGCTTCTATGTAATATATTTAAATTAATATATTTAGTTTAGAAAAAATCTAATAAATTAGCTCTTAATGTAATTTTAAGACCCAGTTACTGCCTTAATAGGTAACACGCAATGAAACCTGCAACATGTTACATTTCAGTAAATTAATGAAGTAATAACCCGTGTACTATGATGTTACCAAACTAATTTAATGTCCAAACATTGATTTATTTGTGGCGCCCACAACAATATAAACCTTGACTGACACATATGGATTTTCTATTTACTATTTATATTGGGTAAATTCTTATTTTTTGTAGAGCAGCGCTCAGCCCCTCCTTGACCGGCCCTCAGGTTGACCTGTCTGAACAGCACTCCTGTCCTTGCACACTCAGAGCTGGGCTGTGGGCTTAGCACGCGTACAAAGCTGCTAGTCAATATTAACTGGAGTGGATAACGTAATGTTAATTCTTGAACTGAATTAACACTGAATAGTAACAGGCAACAGCCTCTCGAAAAGGGGCCTAATTCTGTTCTTCACTGGATTTATTTTGTTAGTTGTTAGAATGTGAAGCTATTCAGTTGTGGTCTGTACACTTTATCGTTCAGTTATTTATTTGTACAAGTACTTAGCACTTAAATTTGTGGAGCGAAGATATTACTTATTAATTTATTACAGCCACCCCATAAACTTTCCAACAACACTCTGACATGATGACACATTTTCTACAGAAGCACTTAAAATAAAGTACTGCCCATATCAACTTTCTGATGATGATTATTCACTACACACAAAAGTAACAATACCTTGTAGATCCTCGACCAGCATTTCCTCTTGTTCAACGTAGATTTTGGCCAGTGGGGTTTTTCCTGAGAAGCTTGAGCACCTTCGGCACAACACTTGTGAAGCCCTCTTCAAACGCCGGCATAAGTTGACAGATGATGGATGGATCCTGTCAACCTCATCGTACAACTGAAAGTTGAAATTGAAGGACCAAACCAGTAGTAAAACACCTTTCTTGTATGCCTTTAAGTTACATTACACTGTTACTATTCAAGTAGTGTTGGAGAGGTTGGAGACGTCTCTCCCCTTTCAACATCACTAAAGTAATAAACAAGATGGCCCAGTAAACTGTTGTTGATAAGATAGTTGTCCTGTTGTTTGCCAACAGACATTTGTATTTCTAAACTAAGCTAATCCCCCTCAGAGCTATCAGACCTGAGGAATCTCAGACAGCAGAGATTTAGTTTATAAGAAATACTTTGACCAAGGTAAATTAACTGATGCTGTTCTGCTTAATACACAGTATTATTAACTTTACTAACTAAGATAAGTTGATTAGATAATTTAGT